GTGTGTAATCTTCAAGAATAGGAGAATCTAATAAAAATATCAAAAAAATATTTTGCAAGAAATAAATTGACCAAAATACCTTTGAAATGCTTTGAGGGTATTTTGGTCAATTTATTTTTTACGAATTATTTTTTAAATATTTTTTTTAAGTATGCCTTGATGAGAAGAATGAAGGTCTAAAATCTCAAGTTATTAAGATTTGTTGAAAAAAAATTAAAATTAAAATACGAAATGAGGTCTTGACTGTCAGATCGGTCCAGATTCAATCTGGGCTGCTGGACTCATATGTTAATATGAGTTAGTGGGCTAATCTCAGCATTTTCATATATATATATATATATATATATATATATAACATATGAAGGATTTCTGGAGAAGTCAACCTTCTCTCTAGAGAAAACGAAAGAGAAGGATATTTCGAGTTTCGATGTTTAAAAGAAGATGGCGTTCAGTTTAGAGGTTGGGAAAAGTAAATTTCTAAAAAATGTTTTGGAACTTTTAATTTAGAATTTGTTTGATTAATAAATATTTCTAATAATACACTTTTTTTTAATATTCTGATGTGCAGGTTTTGAAGACAAGAGATTACCTTGATGTGGAACAGGAGAAATCTTTTAATGAGATACATATACGCCCGAGACCCAACTTAATGAAAGCGGAGTTTTGAGCAGAGAATGCGCTGATGCCTCCAACTAATACAAATAGTTCCAGGGACACGGCCTGCTTTGCTGATTATAACCTCACTTGTGTCCTTTTTCTCTTTTTTTCTTGGTTTAGATTTATAATCCTAACGATTCGGTGAGAGACAACGCAGGCCGAGTTTGAGGCTGTATACATGTATGATTTATGCCCTTGTAAATATCTGTAACATTGTATGTTTTATTTGGTTCTTTTGACCATTTTGATCCAATAGTAGTGCTGTGTCTAAGATACCGAGTGCTCTTTCTCGCTTACATGCACACATGTATGGTGTTAGGCCTGAGGAAAAACTCGAGTGCTCTCGTTCTCATCACCTTTCACGGGGATGACGGATGACAAATGGGAAGCGAGACCCACAATTGTAGCCTTGTTTTTTGTGGATTTCCCACTTCAACATCCATCAATTCGATGGATGATCATGCCATTGAGGATTATCGTTCGCTTGTAGTCAGGATTATGTTGTAGCCCTTTTCTGTTGTCTAGTACGGACTCTTTGTCTCTTCCCTGGTGCTGATATCTGGTAAAGCTAGCTCTCTCTCTCTGGCACGTAGAGGCATTGCATTTGAAAGAAGTCATGATTCAATAATATGTATGGGCAGCAGCTGACAGTGGCTAAAACCATGGACCTAGTATGGACTGATTCGGATCTTGAGCCTGATTCCCTCGGACCAACTTGGGCAAGTCTCAAGTCCAATTTGCCTGGTCCAACTTGGGCAAGTCTCGAGTCAGATTGGAGATCTTTCGAGATAGGAGGGGGGCAGGTGGTGGGTTGGAACTTGGGCACCTCGAATGTTTCCTTCAGTAAGGGGTCTTGATCCTAGCCCAGTCATGAGTCCCGAGCTGGCCCGGCAAAGTTTGTAATGACTGGAAGCTGACTATTGTGTTACTATCTCTCACTCTCTCTCTCTCTCTCTCTCTCTCTCTCTCTCTCTCTCTCTCTCTCTACTCTACTACGTACGTACGTACGTACGTACGTTACGTTACGTTACGTTACGTTACGTTAGTTACGTTACGTTA